TCTCCTCCTATTCCCAGGCCCTGCCAGCTGCTGGTAGTTCTGTTTCTGGCCTGTTCCCTTCCTCATGCTGACCCTTCTACCTGGCCTGCCTTTCCTCCCCCTCCAAACCAGGAAACGTCTTCTTTTGGTATCCCCCAGTGCCATCTGCATAGTAGGTGCTTTCTGCTGTGCTAAAATCCAGGCTCTGCACCACATGGCTGTGGCTCCAGTGCTGTGGGCTGACTCAGGTTGAGCTAAGTTTCTATTCAGGGATTTAATTTTCCTGGTAGGCCTGGCATGTCAAGGGCCATGGTTTTCCTTACCATTCTGGAGCCACCAGGCTTCTGGGTAAAACTGTCTGGCCAAGAGACACAGGCTTTCATTTTTCAGAAAGGAAACCCTTCCCAACTGGTGGAAAATAAGCTTTTGCTTAGTGACTAATAACATAAACACAGACAAGATTTCTGGGCTTATAAATAACCAGTTGTAAAAGTGCCCAAGGGAAGCAGCCCTTTTTTTGCTAGAAGAATGGCCAAGAATATTCCTGTCACCTTGAGCATGGGCAAAGGAGCATTGGGCTGAGGGTGCGGAAGCTGCTCATTCTTCAGTATTAATTCCCAAGGCCTTGCTGTTATACATTATAAATCCTGGACTGTTCTGGAAAAATAACACCTGATCTCTTAGGTCCTTTCCTGCTAAAAAATCCTGTGATTCTGCGGCAGCCACAACATGTTTTAAAGACTGATGCCAGCAGGGAGAGGAAAGTCTTAGGGTTTTGTTTTGCCTGAGCTGCCTAAGTGGCAGATGAAATAATTATGAGAACAGCTTCCATTTGTTGAGCACTGGCAGAGGCACTGTGCTGAGGGTGATAGACCTGTGAGGCTATTACTAGTCTCATTGGACTGATGAGGAGACCGAGGGTCAGAGCGGTTCATATGTATAAGTAGTAATGGAGCGGCTGAGAGCTTGAGGGCAGCAAGCAGTCAGACTGCTGGGCCCAGGGCTGGCTGTGCCTTGTGCTCTCTGTAGTTATGGGAATTATATTCACCTTGTCCCCAGGTATTCTCATCTGTAAAACAAGGATCCTCATAGTACCAAATCCATATGATGTAATTCATGCAGAATGCTTATTAGCATGGGGCTTGCACATAGTAAGCCTACAGCAAATTTCACTGTTATTAAGAAAGGCTTCTAGAAGCTTCATCTGTAACATGCCTGGCCTCCTTGATGAAACACTGATGCTTGAAGTCTAGAAAACTTGTTTGCTCTCAATTAATTTAAGGTGACAGGGCCTTGACCATGAGATTTGGGCTGCGCCCTATGGGGAATGAGGGGATGGTGTCCCAGAGCCAGGCCTGGCTGCTTGGACAGTTTTCTGATCAGGCGGCTCATTGGCCCTGCCCGAGAGAGTGAGGGTCCTGCCCGATAGAGTGAGTTTTGTCGCTTGGATATCATCTCATTCATCCAGTGTTTTCCACACTGGCTCCATATGAGTTCTTCAGGATGCCAATAGGAGGATTGAAATGGCCCGATCAACTCGCAGAACTCCGAGTTAAGGAAACCAGGCTCTCAGAGACAATCAAGTATCAACGTTTGACTTGTGTTTGACCGTGGAATCCTTTCTTTCTTCAGGATATCTTGCAGAATGATTACTCCGTGGAATATGCATTTGGAGCTATTTCTTGACCCCTCCAAATGCAGTCAGCAGGGAGGCAACTGTGAAAGGCTGGCCAGCAGTAAGGATGGGGGTAAGGGGTGAAGGGGTGTCCTTAGAAGTGAGGCAGGTGGATAGATCTGGGATATATTTTACTTTATTTTTATTTATTTATTTTTTTGAGATAGAGTCTTGCTCAGTTGCCCAGGCTGGAGTGCAGTGGTGTGATCTCTGCTCACTGCAACCTCCACCTCCTGAGTTCAAGCTATTCTCCTGCCTCAGCCTCCCCAGTAACTGGGATTACAGGTGCCTGCCACCACACCCGGCTAATTTCTTGTATTTTTGGTAGAGGTGGGGTTTCACCATGTTGGCCAGTCTGGTAACTTCTGGCCTCAAATGATCCACCTGCCTTAGCTTCTCAAAGTGCTGGGATTTCAGACATGAGCCACCGTGCCCGGCCAGACTCGGGATATATTGTAGAGAAAGAATCAGTAGGACTTACTGATGGAAGCTTTTTAGTAAACTATTTGGTGTATTGGACTGTAATTGAACTGAACTGTGTATATGTCTCCTTGATACCAAGTCAGCCAGTTGGAGAGGGAAGAATCCAGTCACTGAAACAGCCCTTCTGTCTGTGTGAGGCAAGTGGTCCACACCTTCCAACAGTCACTGAAGGGCCAGAGGCTTTGGCCTCTTTAATGATGCACCAGACTCTTTGGGGTGTGAGGCTTCGTGTTTATTTACCTGTCAAAGTACTTTCCATCTTCCTACATCCTCCTTTTTAAAATTAGAAAATCTGCTGCCCTCTCCAGGGCCGATTCACTCTTTCATTTTTGGGGCCTGAGCCATGCATCCCGAGGCAGTCGGGATGTTTCCAGTTTCCAGAGTTTATTGTTAATGAAAAGTGCACAACAGGCTGAAATCTCTGGCAGGAGCCAAAGCTGCAGGGTACACCAAGGCCAGCAGACACTGGAGCAGCCAATTTTATCTGGATGTTCTCTCCTCCTTCTCCTCCCTACCCTCCTCCTTCTCCTTTCATTTTATTAGGGAGGTTTGGCTGAACTGGAAGGAGCCAAAAAGGAACTGGGGGGGGGGGTCTGAGCTTCTAGCAGCCAGTGACAAGGTGTGGGAGGACTGGGGACCCAGGCCTGGGGTAGGTTCCAGGTCGACTCAGTTCTTCACTGGATGCGTGTCTGCCTTGGCGCTAGGCTCTGGGATGAAATAGTATTGAAAGCAACAATAATTGCTAACGTTCTTTTTTTTTTTTGGACGGAGTCTTGCTGTGTCTCCAGGTTGGAGTGTAGTGGCATGATCTTGGCTTACTGCAACCTCTGCATCCCGGATTCAAGTGATTCTCCTTCCTCAGCCTCCTGAGTAGCTGGGACTACAGGCGCCCACCACCACGCCCAGCTAATCTTTGTATTTTTTAGTAGAGACAGGCTTTCACCATGTTGGCCAGGATGGTCTTGATCTCTTGACCTCATGATCCACCCTCCTCGGCCTCCCAAAGTGCTGGGATTACAGGCGTGAGCCACTGTGCCCGGCCCCAGCAGTTCTAAGTACTTGCTAATATTATTCATGTTTTATAGACTGAACTGAGGCCCAGAGAGGGCAAGGAACATCCCTAGAATCACACAGCCCTTAAGAGGCATATCCAGGGATCCTACTTAGGAGAATCTGATTCCAAAACTATAGTTTTTTTTTTTTAGTTCTGTCAGTCTAGGCAGAGGACATGGATATGTAAACCAGGAAATAAACCTACACAGTGTGTGCATGCTATGAGGCAAGTATTGACTAGCACAGTAAGAGGGAGAAGTGGGGCATTGTGGAAACCATGTCTGAGCACAGTCTTGGCTAGTGAATGAGAGTGCTGGGCATCAGGGGCCTGATGGCAATGGGAGGAAAGTAGATGAGATCGAGGAGGGTAGGCAGGGGACCCCCACGGAGGGTATTGGGTACCCTACAAAGCTTTTTGTACCATATCCCTTAGGAGCGATGATGGATTTCAAAATAAATATTGCTTATTTTGTCTTTGCTCAAAGGACATCTTATGTAAAAGCCCAAAGTATGAAACAGGTGGCAATGGAGTGGTTTTGGACAGCCCGTCATTCATGGCCACCGTTCTCCCTGCCTCATGCATGGGCCCCTGGCCATCTGCCTGAAACCCTGAGTTTGAACATCACTGCTGGAGAGCATCAGAGTTGGGGAGATAGAAGCATTTACAAGCATTTGAGAAGACTGTTTCCTTGGTGATGTGGAGGTTGAGTGAGAAGGGGCTGGACCTGGTGGCAGGGAACCCGCTGGAGATGATAGCAGCAGCAGCAGCAGCCCTGACAAACAGCAGGCTGCAGCATTACAGTTCCCCATCCACGCTGGGGCCAGAGCCCTGCGGATTCCAGCCAGCTCTTTGGGAGGCCGTCTGGTCTAGTGGCTCTGCACTTGATCTTTGAAGCCAAAGTGCCTGATTGCAGACTGTGCCAGTTTCTTAACCTCCCTTAGCCTCAGTGTCTTCATGTTTCAAATGGTAAAATTACAGATATTTCCTTGATCATTTGTTGTTAAGGTTTAAATGAGTCAGTACATGTGAGGTACTTAAAACCTTACATACAAGCTTGGTGCATAGTAAGTGCTATATTATTATTTAGTATTGATGTTCAAAAATGCATTTGTGTAGTTTGAGTTTACTTATTTTATAAATATTACCTGAGCTCCTACTGTGTTACTATGTGCCAAATACTGTCCTGGGTGTTAAGGATACACCAGTGAGTTGAAATAGGACAACCTCCTTTTACATTTGACTGGGGGAGACAGAATAAATACATGGAATGGAGGTATAGCAGGGCTGAGAAGGGCCCATGTGATCATGCATGACTTGGTGGGCCACATTAGCAGCTGTGGGTTTTGTTTGCCTGCGATGGGAAGAAGTAAAGAGATAATAAGATTGAGCACATATTTTGGGGTCAGAGTGGCTCTGTCAGGGCTGGGTACCTGGTCTATATCCAATGGTTAATAAATTATTAGTCATGTTTGTTGTTACCCATTATCCTGTCTACAGGAGAGCTGTTCTGGGAGAGGGTTGTGAGAAATGATCTTGACAGGGAAAGTGGGGTCCTCAGAGAAGAGAACCACATCTCCCTTAGCATGACAAAGGCACGTCCAGGAACAATGGCGTGACACACACCATTGCCCACCTGGTGGGACAGCGTGCCCAGTGCCTCGTGATGCTGAATTGGCTCATTTGTGTTCTGACCGGTCAGTGGGTCCTCTGCTTGGCGACGTCTCCATTGTCCTCTCTCTCATTCTCTGTAGCATAAGTGAGCTTGTTGGCTAAACAGGGTGTTTGTGTATTGCTGTTTTCCCTCTGCAGTGTTTGAGAACAAAGATAAGATTGTGATCATCATGGAATATGCAAGCAAAGGGGAGCTGTATGATTACATCAGTGAGCGGCGGCGCCTCAGCGAGAGGGAGACCCGGCACTTCTTCCGGCAGATCGTCTCGGCCGTGCATTATTGTCATAAGGTACGATTGGGCCTGGCCCGCAGCTTCAGGCGTAGTTTTTATGGCACTGCATGATGTTTTTCCTCTTATAAAAGTGGTATCTGTTCATGGTAGCGTGTATGAAGAATTTATAAACTGGAAAGAAGAAAATCACCGTCACCCACAATTCTGGAACCCAGGGCTAACCCATTGTTGACATTTTTGCTTGCTTGTTTCCTTTCAGTCTCTTCCTCCTCCTTCTCACATTTATTTTTTGTGTCAACTTTTAATTTGGAATAATTTTAGATTTACAGGGAAGTTTCAAAGGTAGTACAGAGAGTTCCTATCTATGCCTCACTCAGTTTACCCTAATATTAACATCTTGCGTTTCTGTGGTATGTTTGTCAAAATGGAGACACCAATGACCTTTTTCTGTTCCAGCGTCCAATCTACGGTACCACACCGGATTCATTTTTACATCATTTGTGTCATGCTTTTTTACTTAATATGTTAATCTAAATATTTTTCTATATTATTAACAATTCCCTATAATTCTTCGTTGTTGGATATTGAGGCTGTTTCTAATTTCTGGTTATTACAAATAGTGATCAATATCTTTATATATGAATATTTTCCTGTCCTGTGAAAAATTTACTTAAGAGAGATTCCAGAAGTGGAATTACTGGGAGAAATGTTCTTGAAACCTCTCTACACCCTGGGTACCTTTTCTTGCATAGGTTACCTACATACGCATACATCTTACTGCAGTGCACCTCAATAGGATGTGCTCCAAAGATAGCCACAGCCAGGCTCATGCCTATAATCCAAGCTAGTTGGGAGGCAGAGGTGGGAGGATTGCCTGAGCCCAGGAATTCAAGACCAGCCAAGGCGACACAGCAAGATCCATCTTTGAAAAAATTTTTAGGCCAGGCACAGTGGCTCATGCCTGTAATCCCAGCACTTTGGGAGGCTAAGGTGGGCAGATCACCTGAGGTCAGGAGTTAGAAACCAGCCTGCCAACATGGCGAAACCCCGTCTCTACTAAAAATACAAAAATTAGCTGGGTGCAGTGGTGGGCGCCTATAATCCCAGCTACTCGGGAGGCTGAGGCAGGAGAATCACTTGAACCCAGGAAGCAGAGGCTGCAGTGAGCTGAGATCATGCCAATCCACTCTAGCCTGGGTGACAGAGTAAGATTCCATCTCAAAAAAAAAAAAAAATTATCCAGGCATGGGGCTGCACACCTGTTGTCCCAGCTGTTTTGGAGGCTGAGACAGGAGGTTCCCTTGAGCACAGCAGTTTAGGGCTGTAGTGAGCTATAGTGCTGCCCTGGATCTCCAGCCTGGGTGACAAAGTGAGACCCCATCTCCAAAATAATAATAATAATAATAATAATAATAAAGCCACAGTAGGCCACTCTTGGTTTCTGGAAAAGGAATGAAGTACACAGATAATTATAAGCCATGTTTCAGCCATTATTCTTCTTAATCATTTTGGCCGTGATTTTCATCTCATTCAGACTTTCTCCAGATCTGTCACACCCTAAACAGTCATTTGCTTTGAGGATAATGTGACTTGAGTCCAATAGGCCATCTAAAACAGAGTCAACTTCTTCATACAAGTGATTGCAACATGGGGCCTCCTGGATTGTTAAATATTGTGTTTCATTGAGAGTGGCTCTGTAAGTAATCAGAAGACAGCTTCTCAAATCTAAAGCCCTTAACCCATGTGAACATTATTTGACCTCTCTTTGTTGACTCAAAAGGTGCTCATAATTTGAATTATATAATATTTTGTATTTCATCATCAGGTATCATTGTAAATCACCATAGAGATGGTGTTTTCATTATCTGAAGTGTGTGAACACTTGGATTCTGTATGAATGAGCCTTATTAGACTCATTAGACTCATTCCATCTTATTATGAAAACCAGGAATGCAGCAATGTAAACCAAACTGCTCCTGATACTTAAAACTGAACAGAATCAGGTACCTTGTAGTCCACATCTTTCTTCCAGAAGATTTGGTTTTGTTCATTTCTGCATTCAGAAGGCCTCCTTGTAGGCTTGAATTAGAAAAAGAGTAGTAGAAATACATGTTTTCATCTCTCCCTCTGGGCAGTGCTTTTGGAGATATTAAGAATGGTCAAATGAAAAGGAAAATAAGAAAGAACCAGCTGTAAACATGCCTGTTGGTTTGCTCAAAAGAGCAGCTTCGATTGTAGATGTCCTTTATGCTGAATGCTGTTCAGAATCATTCAAGGCCCCCGCTACTTGTCCACTCAGCCTGAAATAGCCAGTTCTTTCAGGCCCACTGCCCTTCCCATGCTCATCCATCCCCTAAAAAGATAATCAGGTCTTAAAAAAGAATTGAGAAGGCTAGAGGTTATTGCTGTGTAGACTGACAGCCTATTGGTAGATGACTGCTTTTCATATTTCAGCTGGCTGGCTGCTGGTCATTGAAGTTCAGGCTCCAGCCTTGCCAGAGTTTGCCTGAATGGAAAGGTCAGGCAGGATGGCAGCCACCTGCTTTGGTCAGGCCAGTGGTCACGGTCTCATTGGTCTGCTCTCACGCTCCACCTTTCACCCAGCACTGAATCCAGCTGAGTAGAAAGCAGAGTCTTCTCTCCAGGCTGCTTAGGAAATGTTATCCTCAGGACAGATCAGGATGGGTCGAAATAGATTGGCCCATTTGTCTTTCCAGCATTGGGTAGGTAGGCAGGCACACAGACAGACAGGGAAGGCCTGTGAGCCCCACACTCTGAGTCCCCGGCAGAGAAATCTGCTTCTTCCCTGGGAATCCCATCCCAGACAGACATTGTTTGCCACTGCCTGGGATTACATTGCTTTCACACAGTGGAATTACATTCCGACAAAGAATCCCCCTGCTGTTTTACAGGCTCTGGGGGAGAACAGATTCCAGTCATTTTTCCCTTAACCACACAGCAAGTGACTAATGCTCTCCTGTCGCTGGTCGGTCACTGGCGGGGGAACGTCAAGACAGGGAGAGCAGCCTGAAGGATGAAGGCGAAGACCACCGGGCTGGTGCATTTCTTTAATCTGTCAGACATTTCCCTTTGCGCACCCTCCTCCTTCCTTTTTCTCTCTTGTTCTCATCCCAGCCGCTCCCATTCAGTTCCCTCTTTGTCTTCTCATTTCAGAACGGTGTGGTCCACCGGGACTTGAAGCTGGAAAATATACTGCTCGATGACAACTGCAATATTAAGGTAAAGCTCTTGCCTCGTTGATTGATATGCAGAGCCTGGGCCTTGCAGCCTTGTGGAGGCTTAACCCACTCCAAGCCGCAGCCTGGAAATAAGGCAGCCACTTCCTACCCTGGCAGGCTGAGTCTCTTTGCTTGAGCTCTAAGTCCAGTTCAAACAATTAAATTCAACAAGCAGTTATTGATCTCCTGCAATACGCTGAACGTTATTCTTCCTCCCTGGGTGGAATGAGATGACTAGGATACAGTGCCTATCCTCAGGAAGCTCATAGTCTAAAATCATCACCATAGCAATTTCATATATATTTCATATTTTTGCCTGATATCACTTAAATTCAATCTTTACAACAACTCTGCAAGAGAAGCACGGTTATTTACATCATTTCACACAGGGAAACCGAGGCACAGAAAAACTCAGTAATTTGCCCGAGGTAATCCAGTGGTAAGGAGTGGAGTTGGGATTTGAACCCATGTCTGTCTGATTCGTGAGCCTAAATTCAAGTCACTTTGCTTTATTTGCTAGCAGGACCCTAAATTATTTTAGAGTTGGAACGCTTTTCCTGGCCTCTTCTTTGTCACTCTCCACCCTGTCTCTTACTTCTCCCTCTCCACCTTCCCACCCCCAAAACCAGCCATGGCCCTGGGAAGCTGACCGAAACGGGGATGGCGCTTGCTGTTGGGAAATAGCAAGTGCTGGAGTTTACTCACACGGAGAGTATTATTGCTGGCTGCTGCTGGAGCTGGAGAAAGCTCTCCTGGCCTACAGGGTTCAAGTGCCTCCCAGGGAGCCCTCTGAATGTCCTTTTGACTATGTCTACAAAATAAGCAAATACAGTTTCAAAATAAACGGAGCTCGCCGCATGGGTTTCATTATGAAATGGCCTTAGTACTCCCAGCACCAGCAGGAGCCCTCCAATTGGCCACTGGTGACGTTAGTGGCTTATCCCTGGTCCCTGGACAAAGCATGGGAATGATTTTTTGTTGTTGCTCCTATCAGTGGAGGAGCGTGTAATGAGACTTGTCTCCTTGCTTGGAAGGATGGAGTTGCTCTGGTGTTAGGATTCTGGGTACAGATCATGGTGGCAACCATGAGTCACCATCATCCTTTGAGAGGCCCCTGGAAGCCATGACCCAGTGACCTCTTGCTCTGGTTGATTATAGTTATATGTAGTTAATAGAATAAGAAGGAAATAGTTGGTCAAAGCAGTTCTGCATAGGAATAGGAAGTGGAATCTCAGGGTCTATTTCTGGCAAAGTGGTTGGATTATTCTAGAAGGAACACCAGTTGTAGAGTTAGGAAATTCTGGGCTGTGTGGCTTACTCGCTTCTTGACACTGGGAAAACCACTTAACCCTGTTTCCTCAACTGTAAAATAGGGTAGCACTTCTACCCACAGGCCTGCTTAGAGTACTGAATGAGACTTAGAGTACTCTCTGTGTTTAATTTTGTAAACTGCTAAGCACTTGTGTGCAAATGAGTGAAAGTTAAAAGTGGTGGCTTTGGAGTTAGATATTGCAACACTGTCCCTTAGTAATGGGAGTATTTGGGTAAGTTTCTTGATGATTTAGGCTTTAGTTTCCTCATCTGTCAAGTAGCGATGCCAGTTCCTGTCTCTGGAGATTATTGTTTATTTGTTCATTGTTTTTCAATGAGTATTTTCTGAACAGTTACTGTGTGCAATGCCCTGTGTCGAGTCCTGGGGAGTCAATAACAAACGTGAAGATTTTAGACAATGCTACAGTCAAAGCAATTCATACTTAACTGTTACTATACCAGGAGCCTGCTTAAATGGCTGGCCCCTGGAGAGGGAATTGAACTGGAAGTCAGCTGCTCTGAAGGCGCCTAGGTCCTGGGGAGTGGTGGTCAGGCCATGGCTGAAAAATTGGTCCTGGTTTGAGGGCCACATTTTTCTAAGGGTTTGTGTGAACCTTATTGACTTCCTGTCCAGATTCTTCCTGTCACCTGCCCCCAGAGCTCTCAAAATGAAATGTCGTCTTTACAAGGCCTGGAATGTGAGCCTCTTGCCTAGGGATTGGGTTCCATGGTGCAGTGTGACCTCTTGGTCTCATGATGTATTCCCAGAAGTGATAAGACACATAGCTTTCTATGAAATCATAGAATTCCCTAATGGAGGAGAAAAATGATTAGAATTTGAAAGCAGTTGTGTAGGGAAACAGTGAGGTAGGAGCCTAGAAGAATGGCTTCATTTGTGTAAGCAAAAGAGCAATCATGTTGGGGCTGACAGTTCCCCTGCACCAAGTTCTTCAACCTAGGGTCCCTATGCATGATGGAGGGAAAGAGCACACACACCAAACAGTATTAGCAATTCAGGCTTACACACTTACTTTTGCTTAGGAATTTCTAATCCTGGCCTTTCCCAAGGTAAAGCACGGGTGTGCATACACACACATATACCAAAGAGAAACCAGATAGTCCCATGATTAACACTTTTAAATTCCTTTCCTCCTTGTTCAAGGAATCCTACTCAGATCTGACAATCCTAGATCTTCAAAAAACGTTGGGGGTCATTTTCCAACCCCTTGTTTTAGTGATTATGACTCAGAAAGTCTAGATGATAATGTCTACAATCACACAGTGGATCAGTCTACACTAAATTATTGTCTTTGCTTCCTCAAAGTGTAGGCTGCTGCTTGGCACACAGTAGGAACTTCAAAACGGTTTGACTTTGGAATAAAGGAATGACGAGCCAGGATTAGAACTTACGAGTTTGACTTCCAGGCACATTACTTTTCATCATCTCCCACCCACTCCCAAGGTTTTAAAAAATGTGATTCAGCTGGTGTTGATTTGTCTTCTGGCTGTATATTCGCAACCCTTCCTGACTCAGCATTTTGTTGAGACACATTTAGAAAGGGTACTTGCTGACAAAGGCAGGCAGACATGGCCACAAGCTGGCCTCTGTGCTCAAGAGAGTCCCTGTCATCCGTGTCTGGACCTGGAAACAGATGAGCCACCAACCAACGGGACATGAGCAGCAAGTTCCTCTCTTGGAGCCCCCTCTGGTGCCTCTCTAAATGTGGATTGGTTGTCCATGTTTCAAGACTTTGGCCTAGGAAGCCTGTATAAACGCTACTGGTTTAAACTTGTCACATGTCGCTGCAATGGTAGGGAGAGCCATGTAGCTCATTCCTCTCCCCTTCCCTGCCTGATGTTGATTTGCAAAGAGCACATCTGGCATTGGAAATTATTTATCTGGACACTGCGAGAGGGTGTGGCTTCTAAAAATATTCACACAGTCGGTCAGCAGAAAGAATGAGAGCAATGTGCTGCTTTGGGTTGCATTCCGTACTCTGGAAGCATGTCTACTAAAATAGACACCCAGCACAGCATTAATTTGCAATTAATAAAAAACGGGCCAGATTCACAGCCCACTCTCTGGGAGAATGGAATGCCGACAATTCCCATAGAAGGCTCCTGTAAAAATGTCTTACAATGAGAAGAGGTCCAGGCACCAGGGTCAGCCGACCTCCTCCAAGAGTGCTGGGAATCTGGTGAGCTCCCAAGACTCAGAGTAGAGGGGCATAGGGGAAATGGCCTGCTGCCCCTTATGACAATGGAAAGGCGGCTGCTGTGGATAAGAAAAGAAGATTTGAATGGCCAGGGCCAAAATGAGATAGAAACCTCTGAAGCTTAACAAGGCCAAGTAGGGCAGCTCAGAGTCGGCTTCTGGGCTTTGATAATATGAATGTGAGAGCTCTGGATCCATGCATGAATTAATCAGTTCATGTGTTGTGTGTATATACCCATGCATACCTGCATTCACTCATCCACTCCTGCATTGGAATTGAACATCTCTTCTGGACAGTATTTATTTGATCAGAAATAAGTTCCTACTGTGTAGTTGGCTCTGTGCTGAGGATTTAATAGTGAACTAGATGGCCAAATATCTGTCTTGGAACCCAGGATCTAACAGTTGTTGAACTAGCAGTAATATTGAGCTGTGAGGAGGATACAGCAGTCAGTGAAGAAGAGAAGGTACCTGCTGTAGTGGGCTTAAAATTCCAGTTGGGGACAGAGCAATAAACAAGTAAACACATAACGTAATTGGCTGGTAGTGAAGAAAATCCATGAAGGGTGAGAATGAAGAATAGAGTTGCTCTTTTAGCTAGGGTGGTCAGGGAAGGCCCTTGGTATAGGACTTGAATTCTTCTGATCCACCAAGCCGTCTCAGGCTTCTTGACCTTGGCATACGTGGTTCACACTGTCTGGAATGCTCTGCTCATTCCTTTTTGCCTGCTTCTTCTTTGGGGCTCTGCTTGAATGCCTCTTCTTCCACGAAGACTTCCCTGATCCTCCTCCCTTGGCAGGGCCAAATGACCCTGTGTAATGTGTTGTGGAAGTGCCGAGTGGGAAGTAGTGGGTTTGTCCAGCTGGATGGACCAGAAAGCCTTCATAGAGGAAGAGGGATTGAATTGGGTTTTGAGGGATGGGTAGGAGTTTGATAGTAAGGAACATGATGATGGCTTTTCAAGAGGAAGGAATAGCAAGCACAGGAACACAGCGTGAAGACTAGAAAAAGAAAGTAATGCTGACTGAGCCCCTGCTGGAAGCTAGAGCCCCATGCCAGACCTTCTGCACCTTATTTCCTTTGGTTCTCAGAATGCCTCCCCAGGGGTGGGTGTGATCACATCCATTTTACAGACAAGGAGGCTCTTGCAGATAATAAGTGATGGAACTGGCTATAAACCTATGGCTTTTCGGCTGCAAAGGCCAAACACATGATTAATTCTACCCTCTACTCTTACTATCCAAATTTGCCCTCTATCTAAAAGTGTATCACATGAGGGCACTGTTTTGGTCCATGCTTTTGTCAGCCTTACCTTGCCTGCAGGCAGGCTTGCAGACAGCTGTCCCTGCGAGAGACTCTCCAAGCGCGATTGGTGGCTGATGGCCAGGCTGAGTCGCAGTGGCCAGAGCAGTCATGCGGGGGTGCCAGGGCTGTGTGTTGTGAGCTGGCTCTGGCTGCTTGTTAGCATCCATGCA